TCTGGAGCAGAAATCTGAGAAATATACAATTAGAAAAAAAGATAAGAAGAAACCTGTCTCCTTTTGGAATACTGAAAATTAGGAGACATATGCCTTAGCAAATGTGACCATGTGCCATTGAGTCCATTCTGCCCCATAGAGTTGCCTGGGCTGTAATCTTTACAAAAGAAGATCACTAGGTCTTTTTTTCCATGGAGCTGCTGGTAGATTTGAACTGTCGATCTTTTGGTTGGCAGCCACACCTTTAACCACTGTGTCACTAGGGATCTTTGTCTTAGAAATAGGAAGACCTTAAAATACATGGAAGAAAATGCTATATAACCAAAAAACCAAATTCACTGCCATCAAGTCAATTCCAACTCATAGTGACCCCCATGGGTTTCCGAGATGGTAGATGTTTATGGGAGTAGATTGCCCAGTCTTCCTTCTGTGGAGTGGCTGGCAGGTTGAACCACCAACCTTCTGGTTAGCAGTTGAATGCCTTAGTCACTATACTACCAGAGCTCCTTAAATGATACATAGAGTCAAGAATATTTTTTTTTCTACTTCAGATGAATGATGCCTGAGGTAGTTAAGTTGTGTGCCAACTTGGCTGGGGCTGGTTTTGAGTGGCTGGACAGCTGGATATAGTTATTCCCCATGATGAGAATGGTAAGCAACTCCACAGTGGAATCCACTGGAGCAGCTGAATAGCTGCCTTAGGGATGTGGTCTGCTTCCAGTATATAAGAAGCAGCATTGAGAAAGGTCTCTGCAACTTTTTGGCACACTTGGACCCTGCACATAGCCGAGTCTTCATCTCAATGGTCTTCCATGTTGTTTGCTGATCCTGCTACTGTTAATGGACTTGGATTAGTGGCCTGCCATGTGGTTTGATCATTTTGAGACTGTGCCATTTTACTTGTCAGCCTTGGGTTTGTCAGCCTCAGCAGTTAGCAGCTGCCTGAGTGAACAGATGACTTCAGCTCCAGTGGGCCAGGAACAAGAGGCAGAGCTGAAGTCCAGTGTTGAGGGGCCTTTACCCAGCCCCTAGAATGGCATTTTGAACGTGGACTTCTACCCTCCTAAACAGTAAGAGAATAAATCTCTGTTTGTTAAAGCCACCCATTTGTGGTATATTCTTTTAGAGCAGCATTACAGGAATGTTGTTGTTGTTATTGTTAGGTGCCGCTTAGTCATTTTTGACTCAAAGCAACCCCATGCACAGCAGAACAAAACACTGCCTGATCCTGTGCCAGCTCCATGATCCCTGCTATACTTGAGTCCATCATCACAGCCACCATGTCAATCCATCTCGTTGAAGGCCTTCTCCTCTTTCATCGACCCTCCACCTTACCAAGCATGACATCTTTCTCCAGGGAATGGTCCCTTCTGACAACATGATCAAAGTAGGTGAGACGAAGTCTGGCCATTCTCGCTCCCAAGGAGCATTTTGGGTGCACTTCCTCCAGGACAGATCTGTTAGTTCTTTTAGCAGTCCATGGTACTTTCAGCATTCTTCGCCAGCACCACAACTCAAAAGCATCAACTCTTCTTCAGTCTTCCTTATTCATTGTCCAGCTCTCACATGCATACGAGGCGATTGGAAATATCATGGCTTGTGTCAGGCGTACCTTAGTCCTCAAGGTGACATCCTTATTCCTCAGCACTTGAAAGAGTTCCTTCGTGGTTGACCTGCCCAGTGCTACACGTCATCTAATGTCTTGACTGCTGCTTCCGTTGACATCGACTGTAGAACCAAGCAATGTGAATTCTTTGACAACCTCAATCTTTTCTCCTTTTATCATGATGCTGCTTATTGGTCCAGTTGTGAGGATTTTTGTCTTCTTTATATTGAGACTTAATCCATACTGCAGACTGTATTCTAAACCTTCATCAGTAAGTGCCTCATGTTATCCTCACTACAGGAATGGGGGTAACCAAAACAATGCCTTTCTTTGCTAATTATAAAGACATTAGTGTGATTAGATGCTTTAAAATGATTTGAGAGCAGTAACTTAGAGTTTTAATAATTAGTCTAGCAACAGTTGCTAGACTATAGATAATTGAATATCTCCCTTTAAGTTGAGTTCATGAAATGTAAAATTATAATTGCTAAAAGCCATGCAATTTCTCCCTGAATAAATGAAAATGCTGTGCACATCTGCATTTTTCAGGCTGATGTGTTCCTAGAAGGAGCTCAGGGAGGCCTGCTTACATTCTGATCAATGAGTGGAGTGGATTCAGCCTCTGACTGTGAATTAAATATACAGCTGCTGGAAATGTCAGCAAAGTCACATACAAAGAATTCGGATTCACTGCTGTGACACTATTAAATAATCAGTGCTTATGTCACTTCAAATGGATGCAATAGTGCCTTGTGGCTGTTATTCCTACTAGGAGGCACTTTAAATGTCCCTCTCTTTACATACATCAAAATAATGTGGGTACCTTATAGATCAGGTGGCTGAACAAATTGAATGAACTCACTTTCTCAAATAGATAGCTCAGTCTTTCCTGTTTGTCCTGTATGGTTTTTCATTCCCCCCACCCCATAATTCTTGAACAACCTGGCTGATTATCATCGAATCTGGTTTACAACTAGAGTTGTCTGACTATATAGCTTAGGTTATATTTGTGGACCAGGTTGCCACTTTCAAATAACATAATGGCTAGAATTATTTTTAAGTTTATTTTTTATACAAGTAAAATTATAAACATTAGGAAAAATTATTCTTTTTAGTTCTTTGATTAGGAGTTGCCGAAATGTAAACTATATTTTAAAAATAATAATAATAACCTCTTGTAGAATGAAGAAAACCAAAGACCCATGGAAGCAATTAGTCCAAAGGACTAGTGGATCATGCAAACCTCAGCCTATATGACCATGAGACCAGAAGAACTAGATGGTGCCTGGTTACCACTGTTAACCACTCGGAAAGGGATCACTGCAGGAGATTCTGGTTAGAGGGGGAGAACAATGTGAAACAATTCAAAATTATATATAAAAAAAGAACAGGATTACTGGTCTAATAGAGCCTGGTGAGATGTCCAAGATTATAGCTCCTAGTTACCCTTCAGGTCTGGAATTGCATTCACTCCTGTGACTTCCAGCCAAACAACAGACAGGCATATAGGGTGAACATTGACATCAGGTAGATACACTCCTTGTGACCAATCATGGGAGAACCAGAAGGGCAGTATTTGCATAGGGAGACAGCTTAGGGGGCAGGAATGCATAAGAAAGGAGGACATAGGGAAGAGGTAACTATGGGGAGAAAGAGAGAAGAGAGCTGTTACATTGTGTGGAATTGCAGTCAATGTCATGAAACAAAATGTGTATGAACTGCTGTATAGAAAATTAATTTACTCTGTAAACTTTCACCCAAATCACAGTAAAATTTTTTAAAAATAACCTCTTCTAGTAATACAAAGGGCAAAACCCTTATAGGTAACTTATCATTGTCAACATAGCACATTACTATTGGGAGGGAGAAAAGGAAGGAGGGACAGAGAAAAAGAACTCCATTTTATAGAGTCAGCTGCTTGGACACTGCCCACAATAGCCACTGTTAGTTACAGTCATGTGGTTATTAAACCTAACCAACCACTTCCGATGTGCTTGGGAGCCTCCTAAAACTGCTACTGATAACAAGTTCATCCCAACAAATGCAACTAAAAAGAAATGTGTCTATTGGACAAAGATATTTCCTCACAATTATGGGTGGCAGGACCCACACCAAAAGTCCACTGTTATTTCAGCTATTAGAAAATCTCTACACAACAAGTGCTATCTCTTCTCTCTGCCATTTTACTAACCAAACTAAAACCAAACTCACTGTCATCTAGTCAATTCTGACTTATGGTGACCCTCATTGGGTTTCTAAGGCTGCAAATCTTTACAGAATCAGACTGCCTCATTGTTCTTCCAGGCAGCAGCTGGTGGGTTCCAAACCACCTGCGTTTTAGTTACCAGCCAAATGCCTTAAACACTAACTACACCAGCAGAGCTCCTTATTTTAATTATAATGCTCTAGAATAGATGTGATTATAATTCTTTTGTTTCACTTGATGGGATGAGGGAGGGGGCTGTAGGGAGTATGAAGGATGGAAAGGAAAGTCTGAGCTGTTTTATTCACAGAGCTTTTGTTTTCTTCTATGCAGTGACATCAGAAGGACTTGAGTTTAAATCCAGGATGTGTTTTCTTTCTTGAGAGGTCATTTAATATCTTTGTGGTATAGTACTCCTCAAAAAACAGGGTGTGTAAATGTATTTCTCATGGGGTTGTTGTTGCAAGCATTAAATATATACAGGGACATAATAGGTGCTCAAAAATGTTACTCTCTAATTAGCAATTGTTCTCCAACTGCCTTTGTGCCTTCTTCCTTGAAAGACCCAACACCCCAGTAATAAAAGATACAAACAGAAAAAGCAATATAAAGCACTCATGTCGAAAATAAACTTGAAGACATCAGAGCTAGGCCAAGGAGAATATTTAACTCTCCTCTTTTTCTTAGTGAACTCAAGACACTTTTTCATAGACTAATTTGCATTTTTCATGTCAGAATAGCGAGAATATGATTTCTAGCAATATAATATGGTAAAATTCCAAGCCAACAAAACCAATTGGGTTTCTAATATAATGCATTCTTGAACATTTTATCTATTAATTCACTAGCTGTGGGTCGGGATTCTAAAGACCCTCAAAATTTTTTCAATGCTCTATGTATGCTCTTTACTATGTAAACTATCAGTGTGGTTCAACTTCTTCAAAATGTTTTTTTTGTAATTTTGCTCATTCTTCATTTCGGTCTTAAAACTCTATTTCCTATAGACAACAAACACTAAGCCATTTAGTGTAAATAAGAAGCACAGAACTGATTCTAAAATAGCACGATTGACTCCAGAAGAGTGCTGCATGTGTCTTTGTTGACAGGAGATACTTGGGTTATAAATGTGTCCTCATTTGAAATACTAAAGGAACATAAAAAGTCTTCTTTAAAACAAACAAAACAAAATTTCTACTCTAGACTTGGGAACGGGTCAAGAAAGTCTGGCAAGGTCATTAACCGTTTAGTGCTTCTGAGAGCTGAAGGTTTCACTTTAATAAGATTGTCCAAGTCTTGGCTGTTTAAAAGAGGGAGGAAAAAAAAAAAAGTAAATTAGTGATAGAATTTTTTGATTGGTATGGAAGGTTGGGCAATCTACTTCTGTAGTGATACTGCCTTGGAAACCCAAGGCAGGGTCGTTATGAGTCAGTTCTGACTCGATGGCACATAACAACAACAACAACGGTTTATTAAAACAAGACAATAAATCCATTCTACTTAGGGGCAACAGAGATGAAAACATGAAATGACTGTTTTTATTTGATTACCTCTGATTGCTTCTGATTACTGCAGGGTTCACTTTGATGAAGTTACTGAGGTCTTGGTTTCTTTAAGAAGCAAAATAAAAAGAGAGGAGATTAATTGTAAAGTTATTTTGGTAAGATCATTAAGGTTACATATCCATTTGAAGTAACAATAAAATAAAATATTCTTCCTAACCAAAACCACCCCACTAGGCATAGTCATGAAGACATTTGACTGCTAAGCAGAAGGCTATTGTTTCAAACCCACTAGCCACTCCTTGGAAGGAAGATTGGGCAATCTAATTCCTTAGTGATACCGCCTCAGAAACCCAAGGAGGGGTCGCTATGAGTCGGATTAGACTCAATGGCAATGAGGTTTTTTTTTTTTTTTTTGGTATCATCGAATCAATTCTGACTCATTCTGACTCATAGCAACCCTTATAGGACAGAGTAGAACTGCTCCATAGGGTTTCCAAGGCTGTAAGTCTTTACAAAACCAGACCAAAGCACAGGAAAATAGTGTAGTTAGTTTCTATTACCTTTGCTTTGTTAGAGTTTCAGGATTCACTTTGATGAACTTATCCAGATCTTGGTTTCTGTAAGTGGAAAAAAAAATTCAAGCAGCTTAGGTTAGAGATGATATGGGTTCACATAATTGGAAGGAGGAAGGATTAGCTATTTTATTATTTAGTATGAGGCAAATTTGCTTTACATAGAAGAGCCCTGAAATGAATTTTCTAACCAATCCAGAAGAGGAAAAATTATGCCGGATCATAAGAAAAGTTACTCTGTCTTTATTGCCAGAGCTGATCAGCTAGTGGCTATTTACATGAGTCAGGGTCAACTGGACTGGACTGATTGAGAAGGGCAAACTGGTTAAAGTGTCACCCAGCAAACATCTGATGTTTAACAATTTTTCACTCTTGAGTGTTTTAACATTACGAAGATCCAAACTCTGATTCTAACGTTCTTGTCACTTTTCTTCCATGTTCACCAACTAAGGATATTAATTATCCAAGAAAAAAAGAAGAACCTCTAAAACTATGTTTGATCTTATTCTTAACATAAGGGTTGGCAAAGGAGCTCCAGAAAGTTATCAATACTGTTGTCTCTTTCTTCTGTAATTTAAAGTTCCTAGGTGGTAGAAACATTTTGCTTTTGTCTACTAACGGAAAGGTCGGTGGTTACAATCCACCCAGAGGCTCCAAGAAAGTGGGCCAGCAACCAGCTTCTGTAAACATTAAAGTGATGGAAATCTATTGGAGTTCAGTTCTACTCTGTAACACACAGGGTTGCCATGAATTGGGACCAACTCAAACGCAACGGGTTTTATGATGACTCAAAAATGCAGAGAGTTCTGGCAAGGTGGAGGAATAAGCAGACAAACTACACAGACCCTATTCAACAAAAAAAAGGAGAACCAATTAACACAGATACAGAAGATAATCCTAGAGCCCTGAGTTTTGGAAGGAAGGATACAGAAGTGGATTAAACCCCAACTAGTAGAAGAACCTGCATGAAAAAAAGGAGACATACAGAGCTGCAGTTTGTCAGCAATTCTGATGGCTTGGACAGCTTGGATATTGCCAAGGGGTGTAAGGACCTAAGAATTAACCTAAAAATCAGCCCTGATAGCCAGGGGCTACATGGAGGACTGCACTGGTGGCTGGTGAATAAAAAGGGAAGCAGCAAAGAAGAAGGTGGGATGAGCTGTGTACTTTTGCCTGTCTGGGGGGGTGCAGCCATATTGAATGTTTACAAGTGGTTTGACCATTTGGGATATTTAAAGTGACAGCATTCTCTCAGATTCCAGGGACTTAAGAATAGGCTTTACTTGCCAGTAACCACAAGGACATTCCGGATGCCAGTGACAGGGAAGGTGAGATATTCCCCTTGTTACTCTTAGACCTCAAACCCTCTTAGTAAACAGAGGTGTGGCTATCCCTCATTCCCACCCAGTTTCTGGACTGTGTGCACTGACAGAGCCCAGATGCTTTGGCTTACCCTGCCCCAGATTTTTTTTTCCTTTTTTTTTCAGTTTGTTTATTTTTGTCTGTTTTAGAATTATTGCTATTATCATTATTCTTTTTTTGTTCATCCTTTTTATTATTATCCTTTATTCTTCCATTCCCAGGTTCTGGTTTTCAGCTTTTCCTCTCTCCCTAGTTCCTGGTTCCCATTTTATTTTTCCTCTCACAGTTAACCCCATTCCTTGTTTTTCTTTTTGCATTTTTCCCTCATTATACTCCTAATCTACCTCTTTTCTCTTATTGCCCCTTCCACAGATAGCATTTTTTTTTTCTCTGTGATTATTCCTGTGTGTTTATGTGGTGTGTTTTTTGTCCTCTTGCTTTTACTTTTTTGATAGTTTTTTTTTTTATTGTTTTTGTCTAACTGAATGGGAAACAGCAGTTGTGCCCATATGACACAACCACACCTGCACCTCCTGCAGCTCTACTTACTGAGGGAGAGCCACCACTTCCTTCTCCACCAACTGGCCAATGATATACTACCATCAAGAAAAGCCTGACTCAACCTTAACTGCTCTTCACAAACAGTTAGCAGAGATCTAAATACAATAATGTCACAATGTCTCAGAGACAACAGACCATCACTGCCCACACAAGGAAGCAAAGTAAAGCAATAGAAACAAGGGAACAGAATACAGACACAGAAAATATCCCCAAAGAAGCAGCAGCATTGGAACTCTCTGAAAGGAATTATATTTAAGTAGCTTCAATGGATTGAGAGACAGATCAAGGGAAACACTGACAAAATTAAGGAAAACACAGTCAAAACCTAAAACAATTTTGAAAGAAAATGCAAGAACTAAATGAAAAAATAAATGAAAAATTAGAAATGATACAAAATCCACAGATAGAAATCCAGAATACTAATAATAAATTTTCAGAAATAGATAACACTTTGAAAGGACAAAGGAGTAGAATCAAATCAATGGAAGACAGAATTAATGAGATTGAAGACAGATACCTGAACACTTCTTTGGAAAGGGAACAATCAGATAAAAGATCAAAACAAAATGAAGAAAGCCTAAGGTTCATGTGGGATACCATCAAAAGGAATAACCTTAATATAATTGAAATTCCAGAACAGGAAAAGAAAAACAAAACCACTGAGAAAATTGTCCAAGATTTGTTGGAAGAGAACTTCACTGATATGATGAAAGATGAGAATATATCCATTCAGGAAGTTGAACAAACCCCAAACAGGAAAGACCCCAAAACAATGGATTAAATGCACCACTCAAGAGACAGAGAGTGTGGACCAGATAAGAAAATATAACCCATCAATATGCTGTCTACAAGAGACACACCTTAGAGACAAAGACAAAAATGGACTAAAAATCAAAGTTGGAAAAAGATATATCAAGCAAATGG